GATTGCAGGGCGGTGAGACGGTGAGATTCATCCCATCCTTGCAGGGCGGAGAGCACCGGGAGCTGTGAGTTGGGTCTTCAGACATTTGTAGCCAGGGTGTGAAGCAGACTGCTTCCCCCACTGCCGCCCCTCTTTCCCTCTTCATCAAATTGCTAATCTGGACTCCCTCTTTAAAAGGACAGTAACTTAGTTTTGTTATAACTGAACTCCTGTGAAGATTGGGAGCAATTTTATTTCCTGTGATAGAAGCAGAAGTATATTGGAGCCAGGTGCGAATGCTCAGTACAAATCTGAGTCTACATAATAAAAATATAAACTGTTTGAATTGCCAGTGCAAGACTATCTACGTGCCTCTTTCTCTAAAAAGCAACAACTTTGAAAGTGTATTTAAATTAACTAGGAGGGGGCCAGAAATCCCATTCATCAAGGGAAAACAAAAACAAAAAGTTTCCTGTTGCCTCCCTGTGAATTGTTTTGCTTATCTCTGTTGAAGAAGGGGCCAGAGATTCCAACCCCCCTTCAGCATCTTTGCATTTTTACTATCTCAAAAACTCAATCTACAAAACAAGAAAGAGAGTGTAAACCCTTGCTCACTGATTGTTTTCAAGAGGAAAGAGTGCTTGACACAAAGAAACTGCTGTTCTTTGCTGTTCTTTGCTGTTTCTCCAGCCCAGGACTTTTGCCAGTTTATTAGGGGTTATGAACCTATTCTCAGATATCAGCAACAGCTAAGCAAAGCAATAAAAAAGCCTTTACTTACTGACTCTCAATAATACTTCATTACTTTCAGTATCTCAAAACTTATAACTTTCTACCTCAAGACCTATATCAAAGATTAGATAATATCTCCAGATCAATTTCTTTAAAATAATTTTTATCAAATGATTAATTGATTTATTGTTTTTATTGATTAGTATGATTGAGTGTTTAGTGCACATAGTGTAATTACTGAATATCTGATTAGTAAAATCAGTGAATTAGTTAATTTAATTGACCAGTGTGTTGAGCAATTACTGTAATAAATTAGGCTGTTTGTTGCTTAGCAAAATTATTTGATTAGAGTGATTTGAATAACCAATTGATTGATTGATTGATTTTTAGTAATAAGTAGCCTTACTTTTGATTTGTTCTTAACATATCAATTAACATTTATTAATTACCAACATTCATTAAGTATCTGTCTACCTATCACATTAACTAGCTATTGTAATTGTTTAGTGTACTATTGCCATTGACCATGCCAGCCAAAAACTCCAAACCAAAACAAAAGAAAAATATCTCTAACAATGACTTCCCAGACTCCTGCACATGTTTCAAATGTCTTGAAACTATCAATGAAAGCGAAATTTACATCAAATGCCACCTATGCAACAATCTAGCCCACCCTGCCTGCTTAAACGCAAACAAAAGCCTAGCTGATATGGTTAAAAATTCAGATACATTCTTTTATCTATGTCCATCATGTTCTCCTAAGCTAAACAAACTGAGTACCCTACTTGGCAGAGTTGAAAGCATCGAATCACTCATTCACTCAATAGAAGAACGCTTAGCAACACGTTTTGAAACAACTATACAAGCAAGCCTAATCTCTCTTGAAAAAAAAAATACAGCACAGATAAGTGAGTACCTATCAGCTCAAAATCAAATCCCACAACCACAACCACAACCACAACTACAATTACAACTACAACCAAAAATAACCACCAAACCACAGCCACAAACAATTACTATCCCTTCAAATAATTCCACAAATAATATCTCCTTACTCATCAGAGACACCATGGAACGTGAACAGAAACGTCCAAATGCCATCTTATTTGGTCTCGAAGACACCAACAAATTAGACAACATCACCAAAGTTCACAATATCATAAGCAACTCAAATACAACAAACATCTCTCCTGAAGATATCATTGAAATAACCAGAGATGGCCCTGGGTACAAATACAATGACGGCTCTATGGCCCCAAGATTTTGTAGAGTTGTATGCAAAAATGAGTCCAGCAAACGCATATTCATTCATACAATAAACACCATTGCAAAAACCAATCCCAACCGCAAAAAAATTCGGTCAAGACCAGACTTATCCATATTGCAAAGAATCTGCTCCCGTGAACTCCGTGAAGAACTCAAAAACTGTCTAGACAATGGAGAAAAGGATCTCTACATTGACTACCGAGCTGATTGCATCAAAAGAAGGTCACACAACCCACAATTCTGCATCCAACCACACCCCATCCAATCCATCATCACTCAAAACTAGGCACGCACACCCCTAACTATCTCTATTCCAACCACAATTGGCCTTAAATGCAAGCTACTCAATGCAAGAAGCCTTGTAAATAAAATATCTGAATTTCTCCTCTTACTAAATACGGGTAAATTTGACATATTTGTCTGTGAAGCATGGCTCAACGCATCTCTCCCTGACTCCATTACCACAGTAATAGACTATCATGTTTACCAATCAGATCGTGAAATCCGTAGAGGTGGTGTTGCTATCTTCTATAAAAAGTCCCTACATCTAAAAAACATCCAAGTTACCCAGGAGCTTGCTCTTCCTGAGACCATCGTCTGTGAACTGTCCTTAAATATCACATTTCAGTTCTTACTATGTTACAGAGCCCCTGATTATGAAATCAAACATGCAAACAAGCTAAATACACTACTAACATGGGCTGTCCACACGCTTTTATCTTTCTTGGTGACTTCAATTTACCTCATATTAACTGGACCCTTAATGGATGAACAACTGAACCCACACATGCAACCTTTTACAATGCAGTAACAAACTGGGACTAGAACAAATAGTAACCAACAACACTAGACTTAACAACTGCCTCGATCTCATCTTCTACAATAGTTTGAATTCAATTTACGGAATACAAATTAAAGAGCCCTTTTCCAACAGTGACCACAACATGATAGACTTTTGTCTCAA